CAGTGTCCTATGACATCTATGTACCAAGTGTCATTGAAATGTGATGATTAGTACTTGAAATATCAAAAGCTGAAAATTAATTAATTATGCAAATTAGGTAATTAATATGTACTCATATTACCCTAAAAACTATCAGGTCTGTGCAGTGTCCTATGACATCTATGTACCAAGTTTCATTGAAATGTGACAATTACTACTTGAAATATCAAAAGCTGAAAATTAATTAATTATGCTAATTAGGTAATTAATATCTACTGATATTACCCTAAAAACTTTCAGGTTTGTGCAGTGTCCTATGACATCTATGTACCAAGTTTTATTGAAATGTGATGATTAGTACTTGAGATATCAGTGGAAAAGCCGAAAATTGATTAATCATTATGCAAATTAGGTAATTAATATTGCACAGATTTTTACTCAAAACTAATCAAATCTGCGCATTGGCCCAGAGCATCTATGCACCAAGTTTCATCAAAAACTGATGTATGGTTCTTGAGATATCAGTGGAACAGACGGACACACATACACACACACATATACACACACACACACACACACACACACACACACATACACACTAACTGCAAAGACTCCCTTTTTGTGCTTCGCACACAGGAGTCAAAAACAAAATGGCTGTCAGTCAGCTATCTTGGATTGAATCAGCAAACCACTGCATGCATGTGCATACATGTCCCAGATAAAGTACTAAGCACATGCAAAGAATGAACAGATTTGGTCCACAGGGTTCTGAAATATGACAGACGGATGGAGACCAAATTATAAGTTTTGAACTTTGTTCGAACAAGGACTAACAAGAAAGCCATCAGAGATAGCAGATCCCCCTACATTTTTCACAAGGAGTGGGTGGAGATCACTGTTTTGATTGGAGGCTCTGTGGTGTAACAGCTACTAAATACAGCTAATAGTAGTGCACATAACAAATAGGGACTCTTATCAGCAGGCAATGTACATATCTTCTTCTCCCAGAACAGTATGACCATCAAACACACCAAAATTTAAAATGATGAGTGTTGAATTTCTTTAGTTATGACACCATGACCCTGATAACCACGATGTCTCCCTGACAGCCCTACACAAACTTGCTTGAGAATATAAAGGATACGTATACTTATAGCTTCATTATCAACTCGAAATAGTCGCTTAACTTCTTTCTCTGTATCTGGAGACTCAATGTACTGAAAACAAAAATGATAATTGTTTTAAATACAAGCTTGACTTGACTAGTACCTGGTATATGTATATAGCCAGTATACACATCTATTGATAGATAGATAGATAGATAGATAGATAGATATTTTATTTGACACAAAATTTAGCATGAATGAAAAAAACATACAATAAATCAATGGTCAAGAAAAACACAAATAAAACAATATACTAAACTAAAGCTTAGATATAAAATCAATAAATTTTCCCAAGCAATTGACAATAAAGCTATCTTTAGTGCCTAGCAAGCACTTGAATTTCTCATGAGTTGATAACTTGCAAATGTTATCATCATAAATTGCTAATTCAGCTTCAAATTTAGTACGAGCTTGTACAATCT